CTAATTCGAAAAAGCTAAACACCGTAATTTCATCCCCCCATCAGTTCCCGGATTATATTATCCCCTTGTGCAAAATTGTAAATGGACTTATTCAAAAGTGCCTACTGATAGTCGAGTAGCTAAGAAAATTGATTATCCTGAGATTCTGAATTTGAATTTTTTTGAAGCTAATTTGGAAAAGGACCCGATATTGAAAACAATCCGCGACGCGATACGAGACAATGACCCACGGGCCAAGGACATTATTACTAGATTGGCGCAATTTTACGCTCAACATTACAACAATTTTGCTGTGCGCGAAAACTGCTTGTGGATGGATGGTCGGCTGGCCATACCGAAGGATATGTCGTCAGCAGTGTTAAGCCAATTGCATCACAACCATCATGGGCGGGACAAAATTTTCGCGGCGGCGAAGGACGTCTGGATACCGCTCATGCATAGGAACCTTCCGGCTACAGCCAAGTATTGTAAAAGCTGCCTAGAAGCAGGTAAAAACCTTAAACCGGACATTCCAAAAAATGATATGGGGGAAACATATGTACCCAGGGAACCTAATGATCTGGTTCAATTAGATTTCTGGGGTCCTGTAAATTATGTACGGGGTCGGAAGAAATATGTTCTAATAGCAGTAGATACGTTCTCACATTGGCCGTCGGCTTATGTCTGTTCAAGTAACAAGTCTAAAAATGTATTGAAATTCCCAAGGATATACATAAACACACATGGGCACCCAAGGAAATTACATATGGATCAGGCTACTGGCTTCTTCTCGAAAGACATACAAAACTTCTATAATTATGAGGGCATTGAACTTATAAAATCTCCAGTTAATGACTAATGCGTTACGGGAATGGTCGAAAGGACCATTGGCTCGATAAAAAATTACGTTTTAACATATCTTCAGGAAAATAACAACTATAAAATTGGATTGATGATAACCCGTGCACTGAGCGCTTTACGATTTGTGCCGCAATCTAAAACTAAGCTAACGCCATTTGAGGCCTATCATGGAAGAGAAGCAAACACCGCTTTTCGAAATTTGACGAAAAAGCCATCATTGAAAAACCTAAATTTGAGAAATGTCATTAACCAGAAGTTATCTTGTTTAGACAAGGCAAGTGGTCTACCCGAAGTGGAACTGAATCTCGATTGGGAGAAACATAGCGATCTTGTGTACGCCCCGGAAAACCGCAAAACGCCAAGGGTTTTGGAGGAGAACGATCTGATTGAAACGGACGTGGACCCTAAAGTCAAAGAGGTGGATCCCAAGGCTCAAGAGTTGCCTAAGGCAAGGCACCAGAGTGGTTGAAGCGACATAAAACCAGTACCACGACATTATATCAGAGGATCGGAAAAACTGATCCAAAGGACCCAAGAAGGTATAAACGTTTATCATTAAAATTGAAAAATTGACAAAACATACGGTGCAATAGAAAAAAGGATCGTTACTAAGGCGAAGTGGTGTTTCATTTAGATCGGCGGCTGAAGAAAGCCGAAATGAGAAGGGGACCGACGCTAACACCCCGGGTCCAAACAAGCCTACGGGGCATAAGAGGCAAGCGGAAAAGTTGAAAGGGACTATTTGGAAATGGAACGAGCGCGAAAAACCAGTGAGAATTGGAAAACGAAGAAAAATCAGATAGTCGAGAGCAGCGAAGACGAGAGTGACGAAGAGGAGGAGAGCGAATGGGCAGTCGTGGGGCGTGAGGGCGAAGCCGAGAAAACTGCAGCGAGCGGGGCGAACGAACCGTCGGGAAAGGTTAAAGGAAAAACACCGAAAACCGTCGGTAATAAGAGAAAGCTGAGCGAGGAGGCAACGCGCAGATCAACGCGACAACGGAGAGGAGTCGACAAAAAGGGTGGAGTGATGATTCACCGGATCGAACACAAATGAGAAAAACAAAACTTTGGGAGAGGTTTGGCAAGCATGCCTAAAAACTCAAGTTGAAACTAAAACTGTTCAGTAAAACTAGGGAGAAATTTATGAGTTGATAAAATTTCCATCTACGATCTAAAAATAATTTGTGGTTGCCCGAATAAGATAGGGACCAGTTTGAGTTTATGTAAGTTATATGAATTTGTTTTTTTCTGTCTGGAGACCTGCTGTCGTGACCTTGCGATCTCTATCGTCCGGTACGAGCTAAAACAGAAAGGTGCAGTAGGATTTAGATTTGATGCCTTACAGTTGCTTTGCAATTAAAGTTAGACAACTATTCTTTTCAGTATTATACATTTCGCAACTTCAACACTTCTTTGGCACTCAAAAATTTCTGACATTCTATTCGTTCATATAGTTTTTTAAGAATGTAGTCATAAAAATATCTGCATCTTGCAAGCCAACCAATTTTTCATAAAAACAACTAAACATTGTGTATTTGAAAGCTTCAAGAGGCAAGGAGTTTGATTTTTTTAGTTTGAATTCTAGAGACGGTTTCATTCTATTTTTCGTATGTTTGGTTTTTGCAATTTAATTTTTTTGCGATTCTAAGCGTGAATATAAGTGTGCTGAAAAATTCAGGATAATTTTCGTTTTTTGTTGACTTCTAACAAAAAACCATTAAAATAGCTGTAACATTTGGTTTTCTTCTTTCATATCGCGATAATCTATCTCGAACATCAGAATTCATCACAAACGTGTATCTTCTTTTGCTGATTTTGTTGAGTTTAACGACACTTTTCACGGTTTCTTTTGGTTGATTTGCTGTTGGTGTGCTTCTGTTTTCGAAATACAGCTTCGGGTTGGTGAAAACGATTTTATGGAAAAACTTTTTTTGCCCGATCGACCTCATTTCATTGAACAATTTTGCCGATTTGATAACAGTAAACAGTAAGGCTGGTTCGTATAACCTAAAAAATTACAAATCTGAAATTTCGATCGCCTACTGATTCTTTGACCAATTAACTTAGTGTAAAATTATTATCAGCTAGTGAAGTTAAGAGATAGTGGTTGTATCGTTTCAGATAGTGATTATAATTTATGCATTTTGAACAAAAATTCCAAAAAAAAACTTAATTTTTTTTCCATTAAATCTCCTGCATATACGTAATTACCGGTTCGAAATTATTTTAGAGACAGTTATCAGTAAAACAAAACTAACTATAAAGTTCGTCACATTAGCAAACAATGTGACGAAACGAGTCGTTTAGCCTACGCGTTTCTGTTATTGTACTCTGTGACAGTGGAGAACTTTATTTAAAAAAATTAAATATAAACATGCAAAAAAATTTGAAAAATTTTGTGGGAAAAGTTTCTACCTCCCTGTTTTTCTGTAAGAACAACTTTCATAATAAAAAAATCCCCATCTTGTAACATTTTCGGAGCATACTTTTGAAAGAAGTGGTAAGATTCTTATGAAAAAAATTCTAAAATAGCACCTTTTGGTCCAGCCGGGTTAACTTAACTTTCAAAATTTAATTATGCTGAAACAATTAATTTTCAAGTTTAATTCGCAGTGAATTTTAGGAATCTTCTCATACGCAATTCACAATGCTTATGATTAGTTTTGTTTACATCTTTCTGCTGATTTGGAGCGGTGAAATTTAATTTTTCGGTTTTGACGAGTATTTTCTGCAACAACCAATATAAAGAAACTCAATAGGCTTTCGACTAGTTTTTGACTGGCTTTATTGCTCCAAATGAAATCCCTGTAAACTTAGGTATTTTCCTGTAAAATTTCTTGTTTTAGAATACTTGTGTAGTGCTCAGTTTAAGAAGATTTGTAAAATTTCTATTAAAATATCTATAAGAAATTTTTTTCAATTAGAATCAATACTTGAGAAAGTAAAATGCATTTGAAAGACTTCATAGAGAAATATTTTAAAATAATTTCAGTTACTTATTAAGTTTTTCAAAATACTTCTTGCAATGTAACCGATGCAGCTTACAGTTTTGTTTATATGCAGACTACTTTCGCTCACAGATGGGAAATATATTTTTTATTTTGATTTGCAGAGTAGAGATCCATTGCAGTAGAGATCGTAGCCTTGTACAATATCGCAAATCTTATTCAAAGTTGGGACAATCAAAGTTAAACATAAAATAAAAGGTAAATAAACATAAAAAAGTATATTGTTTGTCTTTCGTTTCATGAATAAGGCTTGCACGGTGGCACACTTTTTTTAATCAGTGGAAAAACGTTGTTTCAAAATGCTGAAATTGGAAAGATTTTGCGTAAGTAGCTCAATTGGATATATCGAGTTTCCAGTCGATAGATTATCGCGATACTTTTAAGCGATACGAAACCAATTGTGATTTAACAGCTACTGCCTGTTGCTAATGAAGTAATTGTTCGTCACCCTCAAAGGCGTTAAGAAATTTTTTCAAAATTGTTTTTCGAGTAATCCGGGTAAAAGTTCATGTGTCAAAAAAATGTTATAAAAAGCGTTATTGTTGGAGCAAAAAATCATTAAATATTTTTTGTTTTCCTGTTACCCAGGCTATATTTACTATTTTTTAAAATCACTGGGAACTGTAAGAATTGGATCTACCAGATTTGTGCCAGTTCTATTTTATTAGGTTTGAATTCCCACTAGAACAAAATGATAACTTACTCGCAAAAAAAGGAGAACTAAGCGTGAGCAACCGAGGAGATGTTTCATTGAAAAAAAAAAAAAACTAGGTTCACCCAAATGAAAAAATATTCACCCATTTCGCTCGCAACATTTGAAATTATCCAAAATTTGGAGATTTCGCGAAAAAAAAGTTTGCCTCACTTTCAGGCGCGGATCTAGGAATTTCTCGGGGGGGGGGACGGATTTTCAAAAAAAAACAAAAGATTTTCTCGAACTTTTTTTTTCTGAGGTCGACCAAATTGATTTTCTGAGCTCTCTCAAAACACTATAAAGACCGTAACTTGACCAAATTTTCTGCGCCGCAGACAAATTTTAGAAACCCCCCCCCCCCGAAATCCGCTACTGCTTACTTCGGTTTATGTTCTGGCCTGGAAAAGCTCAGTGACTTTCATTTTCTACTTGAACATAATCAAACCTCACATCCGAAACATGTATAAATTTCAAAATGCAAATTCAATAGGTACAAACAGTCATTGATATGAAGAAGAGGTTATAATTGCATTATATTCAGACATTTGGCAAATTTTATTGCATTTTTTTTGGTGAGTTTTTAATTTAGAGTGTGATTCAGCAATGATATTTTTGCGAGTAGTCTCGTTTTAGGCTATTTTTGACCTTTTCTGGTTTTTTCCCATAATAACATGAGAAACCGAAAGATATACACAGCCTGAATCGTTATTCCTGCTCGAATGATTGAAGCTTTGTGCTGTTGGCCAATTATTCGTTTTTACTTGAAAACGTATTCGATGACATGTGACGGTACTGCTCGTTTAGTGTCAAATATGAGCAACTCTTGACATTTTCCGCCGGCATTAGTATCTGAAGAGAAAGAAGAAGAAGAAGCTGCTTGATCTCTCCTGGGAGATCCCCCCAAAGTGCCACTTAGACGTCCAGGAGTCCAGAGCGAGTCAAAGTTTTCTCCCGCACTTCTTCTGTTCGAGTCCGCTTTCAAAGTAGACGTTTGAACTCCTAAATTGGCTCTTTTTTCAATATTTTTTCTTTATCCCTATCCCTTTCTTAATAGACATAGTTAGAAAACTAAGTTTTACAGAATGTTTTGATCGCCTATATAATTTTGTAAGCAAAACTGAAAAACAAAAAACAAATTTCCAGAAAAATTTTTTTTTTCTGATTTTTTAAATATATTTTTTTAAAACGTGGCAAATATTTAAGACAAAAAAAGATTCACAAGTTGGGTTAAGAAAAAAGAGCCCCTTGCCTGTTTTCACTGAAGCTACTACAATTGCGTTCAGCTTGGAGAATTTCACGGCCACTTCGGCGAAACGAGAAAAGTAAAGTCCGATTCCATAGTCGCCATAAGTGAAATTGAAGTTCGAAAATTTCCCCCTGTCCCGAATGCCTTTGATGTCTGACACCGACAAAATAGAGCCACTATAAAACATCGGAGTCCATTCTTCGTCATCATCACATGTAAAATAAATTGGGCTCGTCTCTTCGCTAAGAACTCGATGAACATGAACGACTTTGATTTGGTTAAAAAGGTGCATGTTTGAGTTTTTCAAACTTAAATTAAACATTTTAATCACTTTTTCGAGGTTCTCTTCCTGTGTTTTATTTGTGATTTCTAGAGAAGCAAATTTTTTGTCTCTAACTGAAACTTCGGGTGGTGAAATTGTTCGGGTTTTGTCCGAAGTTTGGCTGGAAACAGGCGTGACGACTATGTATTCATTTGAGGAGTCACCTCGATTCGATATTTGAGAACTTCTTTCGTTTCCATTTTGCTCCATTTCCTTTAAAACTGAATCCAAGTTCAACTTTTCAATCTGTGACTCGACCAAACTTATTTCATTCCGTGAGACTTCGTCTAGTTTTGAGGCCGAATTATTTCTAACTTCGTTCGTGTATTGCTGATTTAGTTCGTCGGTTAATAGCTTGATCTTTTTCTGCTGTTCTTTCATTTTTTCTCTTCCAGCTATGATTTCTTTTTTCAATTGAGTGATTAAAGACACTTGCTCTTGATAAAGACTCAACGCATGTCGCTGCCATTTTTCCACTTTTTTCTCGACCACGTTTTCTATATCTTTAATATCCATTTCTTCCAGTTCTTTGGCTTCTGGAATTAGTTTGGGTAATTTAACCATGACAGTACAGTTGGTCCAAGAGCCTTCGTTTTTAAGTTCGTCATATTTACTGCAGATCATGGGATCATGAAGGAAGCCTTGCTTCTCGAAGAACTCGATTGCATCATCGTCTGCGAGAACTATCAAAGGGTCCAAACTCCCTGCCAGCTTAATCACAAGCTGGACCAAAAATTGGCCGAGTTTCAATCCCCGCCAACGTCTGCGTACACTCAACACTGTAAGATACGAGATTGATTCGCTGTTTAGAATTCGTTTTTCAAAAGTGATGGAAGCAAAAAGCCGGTTTTCAATTCCAATATGGTCCAAGTTTAATCCTAGTCGTTTATCTACATTGTGGTTGCGTAACTTTTTCCTCTTATGGACTTGTTCTAGGAACTCGTCCGCTCCAACCATGTATTGTTCTTCGTCGTCACTGCTGTCGCCCTCGTCCTCGTCTGATGTCGTGTCACCCTCTGATTGGCTGTCTTCACTTTCCTCTTCGTCGCTGTACACATTGGAATACTTGCTCTTTCTGCAGTTTGGACACACCTATATGAATTACATAATTATAGAGAAAAGCTGTAGTTGTCTCAAAAAATGGTTCGATGAGTTCAAAAGGCGTCGGGTTGAGGTCTTCGACTTACGTGTCGACCGAGCCTCTCGTGTTCAACCCAAATCAGTGGATGAAAACTATCCTTTAGTTAAACACAACGCCAAAACACAAATGAGCACATTTTGTTTTGGTCGAGTCGGTCGGAAAGCTATTTTTTCGACGCTTTATTTTCAAGATTGGCAATTGTTGCTAATTTTACTTCTAAGTATGATTATGTTCCTTCAATTGCTTGGTTTTATCCCAGAAACTAAGGTGACATACCTGCTGAGCTGCCTCTTCCTCCTCTTCCGTGTATTCTACTTGGTGCCATCCGCTGCCACATCCATCCACTTTTGGAACCTCAGTACTTTCATCTTTTCCTCGACTGTCTGCACCATCTGGGATCGCCTCTGGATGTTGACTACTCCTCGAACTACCAGCGACTGTCGGTGGATCCCTGTCTCCTTCTGCAATATCATTTTCCCGAATCCGAGTTTTGGAATCTCCAGGTCCGGGATTCGATCCTTCTGCGGTAGTACTGGAAAAGCCGGCCTCCAAACCTGTGTCACCTTTAGCTCCTCCGATGTTTGCACCATTCGACAAGTCCACAGAGTAGTCACTGTCGACTCCCATAGCGGTGGAGAAGGGACTGGCGACAGACGAGGAGCTGCACACGGTGTTGGACTCCCCCAGAGTGATGTGTTCGAGGCGGCTGCGGGCTCCATAGCGGAAGCAGACGTCCTCAAGTGCCTCTTCTGGCGACATCACTAACATCAGAGTCCTAGAAAAAAGATAAAAACAAGTGCAAATTGTTGATTCCATTCATTTGTCTGGTTCGTTAATTTTTGTCTAATTCATTCATATGTCTATTTCCACTTTTAACACCCACATTGACAAACTTGAGATTGCAATCTATTTAAATACAGACAATACACTGTGAGGAAATCAATTTACGAGAGCTCATTTAGATACAAAAATCGATTTAGAATTGATTAAATAGATTTTTAAGGTCGATGAAAAATCCATTTATATCATTTTTTGGGGTCGAAAAAAATGAAATTAATAGTCTAAAAAATCCTTTTCAAATCCATTTCTGCTAAAAAAAACATACTTTCATACTTTTTGAAAAAATTCTTAATTTGAAAACAAAAAACACAAGCCAAGTAAAAACTTTACCAACATCAATCAGATCGTGAGCACAAAAATATGCAATAAAACCATAGAAAGTATACACATTTCAATCGATTTAAGTCAATTTTGTTGTTACTAAAAATTGGATCAAATTGAAAGTAAATTAAGTTGACAAAAATGGGTTTAAATCAATTTAGACTCGATTCAAATTAAATTTTTTACTACATTGTTGTATCGAACTAAATTGATTTCAATTCGATTCAAATCGGTGTTTTAGGGACTTTGCTACATTATCTGTAGAAAATCGATTTCAATCCAATTCTTGTCAGTACGGGCACCCATTTTCTGCATTTTTTCCTTCAACTTTTTTAAAATGAGTTTTTATGATTTTTCGCGTTTTTTCGCTTTATCCAATGGTACTGGAAATTGACATTTAGTCTATTTGCCACATCTTATGCAATTTGCATGCAACTCAAATTAATGGATACACCGTAAAAAAGATGTTTTTATCTATAACTAGGTGAGGGAAACTGTAGAAACTTAATTTTTATGCCCACTACACCTGCCAGCGATATATTTGAAAACAAGAACTTAATCATTTCGATCTTAAATTGAGAAAATTAATTAAAAATTAACTCACATAAGCGTCAATTTTATGGTGCAACGAGTGGTTTTACAACCTTAAGTAGCCAAATGGTTTTATGGCCTAATTTGTCAGCATGCCAATTTCTGTATTAATCGGACAATATGAACAGTAAGTTTACCAGTAAAGTTTTGCAGGTTGGGGAAAAGGAAAAAATCCGCCAATTTTTCTAAGAATCGAACAATGTGAATAAAAATTACTTGTGAACAATGTGAACAAAAGTTAAGAGAAAGTTGGCGGGGGAAGGAAAAAGAGCCCACGAAAAACAACGAAATTCAGTCTGATTTCGTTGGGTTGGACATTTGCCCAAATTTTTTCTTTTCTTATTGGACTTCAAATTAGATTTTCTGAAGCTGCGGTTTGGTATTACAAATATCTGTTCAAAGTCTGTGCAATATCTGTTCCCATTGTCTCAAAATTGACATGTGAGTTTATTACGATCTCGCATAGTCTATGTATGTAACCTCGTTATATCAAAACTAGCACCCAAAAAATGGTGTTTATTTGTTGGAGGGGAAGAGAGAGAAGGAATAGTAGAAAAGTCAGTATTGCAATATAGGAAACTCGAGGCTATTTTACACCCCCCGCCCCCCCCCCCCCCCTTAGCCAATATCGAATATCGATTTTTTCTATTTTATGTGTTATTACGGCTAAATGCGTGATGTTACGTTGTCAAGAAAACAGATCAAATCTGTTCAAAGTTTTTAGTTTCTTCACCATGCCAAGTTTCATTGCATTCTGACAACCTTAAATAAGCTTTTCAAAAATGATTTTGAAAGGGGGAACTGGAAAAGAGCCCTGGAAAGGAGCAGGAACAGTATAGTTTTGTTCACCTGGCTCCCTTGGAACAGACAGTGGAGTAGAGTAGTTCTGGGGTGATGTTGGGCAGACATGTGTTGTACAGTGCGACCAGAGCGTGTAGAGTGTCCCTCCATTCTGACACGCTACTCTTGCTCCCAACTGCTCCAGATGCACCCTCTGCTGGTCTGTAAAGTACATATATGGACTTTTTTGGCTCTTTTTCCTTCCCCCCCCCCCCCCCCCAAATTTACATGTAAAATTTTGCAGGTGGGGGGGGGGAAGGAAAAAGAGCCACTTTTTTTTTCTTGTTTTTACTGATCAATGAGAAGAAAAATGTTGTCAAAGCTGATCCCTCCCATGCCAAATATTTAAAACCGAGAATCATAAGATGTCAGGATAGTTCTCAATCAGTAGCGAGTCGCGGGGGGGGGGCTCTTTCCACTTTCCCCTCACCTGTCAAATTTTCTATTTTTATAGTTGTTTTACGTGTGATTAGCGCTAAACCAACCAATGCGACTAGACAACCTGGAACAGATATCAAGTCTGGTTGCCAAATTTTTTCAAAGGGTCCTTCCTCCCTTTGATATAATTTTTGGAGATCCATTTTTGGCTGGCCAACATTAAAAAATTTCTAAATATAACTAAATTTGAGGGGTCGAGCCCGCGCCGAAATAAAGCGCAATTTTTGTGGTCAAATAATTTTTATAAGTGCTCCAAAACGTCATTTTTTTGCTTATTGTTTCAAAAACAGTGTCCTAATAGTATTTTTGGAGAGCCCTGAAAATGAAACTCTTCCACCCAAAAAAACCAACTCTAGAAAAATTTCTGCTCACGCCGCTAATCTAAATAAAACCAATATAACTGTTACAGAAAAGTATGATTTTTTTTCGGTGAAATAATTGTATGCAACTTTAAAATTTCTGTTTTCTCTTTAGGCAAGCATTAATTTTATCAAAGCTTAAAAGTTTTTTAATGTAAATAGGATATCTTCAAACATTTCTTTACACCACTATGGTTCTCAATAAAGAAAAACCAAAAAAAGTGCGCTTTTTGTTATTCTTTACGAGTTACGATTTTGAACCCTTTCGCATTAAGGCTCATCCATTTTTGAAAGGGGTTTGTGATCTATTTATAGACATTCATAAAACCTAGTAGTAGACATGGAAAAAAGAACGAAAACTACCTGAATTTGGATGAACGCAGCACTCTTCTGAAATCGACCGACACACACTCGGCAACTGTTTCTCTCCCACTGACCCTGTGTTTAAATGTATGACACCCCAAACTCTCGACGCCAGGAACACTCAAAACTGCCCCCATTTCAAGATAATCGAATCAACGTTAAAAGTCAATTAATAAACAAGAAAACTCAATTGAAAAACAACCAGAAAAAGTTAACGTCATTTTTCACAAATGAAGGTTAATATTTTGGATTAAACACTAAAGATACACACAAGATGCACAAAACTAACCACGTAGAACAAAAAACATACAGGTGATCAGTTTATATGTGGCTCAAATATATATTTTTGCAAAAACAGCATATGTATAAAGTGACGTGAAAACACATACGTTGTGTGTAAGCGCTTTAAAAATAAAAACGCACGTGTGAACTTCAAATGTGTCGTGAGCTAAATCATATCAATAAAGACATTTGTGTTATTGGGGTTAAACATTTCTTTCCAGAAGAGGGCTCTTTTTCCTCCACCCCTCCCCCCCCCCCCCCTCCTTTCCACTTCACACAGCATCATTTTTATGGTCTATCGAGTAGTTTCACAAGGTTAATTATGACGACCAAATATGTTTGTCATGACCTAATTAGTCCCTATGTCAACAATGTGAACAACATTTTTACGGTGGAGGTAAAATTTTCCAGGTGCGGGAAAAGGAAAGAGAGCTGAACACAGTCCAAAATTGTTTAGAAACATTCGAAACAGGCAGAACAAATTGGGGCTCTATTTTCTTGCCCCCCCCCCACCACCTGCAAATTTTTCAGAGTAATTTTTCTGTTCAAATTTTCGGATTGTTATGAAATTTTGCAAACGGACTAAGGAAATAATTTTGCAAACGGACTAAGGCTATGAAAAACATATTTAGTCTTCATAATTAACCTTGTAAAACCACTCGTTACACCATAAAATCGATGCTTATGTGAGGGAAGAGGGAGGAAAAAGAGCCCAAATTGCAACTTATAGGCAAATTTTGGGGTCTCTCCCATTATTGCCCTCCCAGCCTTTCCCAATATAACCATAACCCCCCCCCCCCCCCCCCCCCGAACGTTCCGAACGGTAAATCATACTTACAATTTTGTGGATCCGATAACTGGGGCTCATACCCAAACAATTGAAAGTCTTTGGCGAGACGCAAAGGCAAAAAACAAAAAATGTACGGAACAGAAAGAAGTATGATTGATTCATACCTAGCGAAATTCTTGTTTGGCAAATATTGCAATAACAAAAAATTGGAAGTGTACAAAAAATAATGAGAAATATTGGTCAATTCCACAAACATATTAGTGATGCAAATGTGTAATCAAAAATTATTTGATCTGGCTATTAGTTTAATTAGAAACCTTTGGGGGGGGGGCTATAAAAGGAATGATTGGGGGGTCTATAATGGGAAATGTTTGGGGGGCTATAATTGTTTTGATACTAGGCTGGGGGGCTATAATTGTTTTGATACTAGGCTGTATAATTGTTTTGATACAACAGTCACCTTCTCCCCTAACTCATATTATGTCACACAGCCATCGAATGTTCAACCGTTCTCTAGCGGAGGAACAACTTTTTATGTCGGTGATCCTAAAACTTTAGACGCCGCAATCTATTCAAAATCGCTGATGGTGCCTTATACAAATGAGAACAAACAATATGGCCCATTTACGTCCTCGAGCAGTAAACCAATCACAAATCAAGATCTAGCTGAAATCTTGACACTGAGCCAGAAAGGTCCTTGCCTGAATGGAAATTGTCTTCTTTCGACGGAAATCCGTTGCAGTGGCCTGAATGGTTTGGTCAGTTCAAAAGTGCAATCGATGCAAAAGTTTTAAGTGATGATATCAAATTGACATATCTCAAAACTCTCGTTTCAGGCAAAGCGAAGAATGCAATTGCCGAGTTCGCTTACAGTGGAGTATTCTACAAGGACGCTTTGAAAACTCTAGAGAGGAAATTTGGACAACCACAGACGATTGTGGCAGCTCATCTTGAAAAACTTTCGAATTTTCCACCTCTCAAAATGCACAATTCAGAAAGCATTATCAGTTTCGCTTCCTGTATATCCAGTCTTGTCGCAGTTTTAAAATCGTTAGGATATGAGTATGAAATGAAGAGTACATCCGTTTTGAATCAAGTTATTTCAAAATTGCCTCCAAATATGAAAGAATCATGGTCTCTCCACTCTGTAAAGAAATGTTGGAGACAGCCAACCGTTTTAGACTTTAATGATTGGCTCCGCGACAAGGCTGAGGCACATGAACTTATGCGTGTGAACCAGAATAAGTCACGACCTGAGGAGACTCCAAAGACTGGTTTCCATAAACCATCTACAAAAGTTTTTGCCGCTGCTTCAAAAGTTGAAAAACCAATTTATGCTCCGTGCCTCCAGTGCAATGGTAAACACCCACTCTGGAGTTGTTCTGTGTTTAAGGAAAAGACCCCAACTCAACGAGCTCAATTCTCCGCACAAAATAGGTTGTGTTTTGCTTGCTTTCAACCTGACCACATGTTCCGAAAATGCCATAAAGCCCGCAAATGCACTAAGCCTGGTTGTGAAAGCACCCATAATGTCTTGTTACATGGTGCTGAGAAAGTTTTCAGCTTAAGGTCTGCAAACAAAGAGTTAAATAATAGCAATAATACAAGCCATTCGAATTCAAACAGTACCGCCCCGCCGAACCGGAATAAGCCGCAAACTTCGTCATCGAACGTAGCCGGTTCGTCGTCTTACAAGAAACTAACGGGACTCCTTCCTGTGCTTCAATTGGAAATAAGTTCACACACAGAGGTGACCACTGCTCTTGTAATGTGCGATTCCTGTTGTACCCACTCATGGGTCTCGGCGGGCCTAGCACAGCTTTTAAATTTAACTGGCCAACAGCTAGATATTCTGGTAAACGGCTTCAATTCGACGGAATCCGTTCCCACGCAACAAGTCGAAGTGAATGTTTTTGCCAAATTCGACCACCATGAATACTCGTTTAGGGTTACGCCGTTTGTGAAAGAAAGTTTGAGCGTTGGTTCCAAAACGATTGACGCTACCAATCTCCAAGACAGGTTTCCACATCTACAGCCAATTAAACCTATTGTCTACAACTATTCCGACGTTGAGATGATATTAGGGCAGGATGTCTTTCATGCAATCAAGCCTCTCGAATACTGCCAAGGACGAAATCAAAACACTCCTGTCGCTGTCCGTATGCCCATTGGCTGGGTTCTCAGTGGCCCACTTCCATCACCAATTGGTGTTCGAGCCACCACTTTCAAGTGCAATGTTGAAGACGTAGCACTTGCTGACCAAGTGAAGAAATGGTACGAGCTAGAGTCGTATGGCACGTTTAAACAAGCTGATCCCCGTTCCTCAGCTGATAAACGTGCACAAAAAATTCTTGACTCTACCACGATTCATGATGGCAGTCGTTATATTGTCGGAATGCTCTGGGCTGCTGACAATATTTATCTTCCCGATAACTTTTACGCTTGTTAGTCCAGCTTAAGTCTCTTAAAAAGCGTCTAGAGAAAGATTTAAACCTGAAAACTCAATACGCATCAGATATCCGAAGTGATGTCGAGAAGGGTTACGTGGTCCCGGTTAGCCCTCACGACTCAAAAAACCGTTCAGACCGAGAATGGTACGTACCGCACCACCCAGTTTTAAATCCGAGCGTTTTAAAACGGTGCTTCTAGGTTTCACGGCAATTCACTGAATAACTCCCTTCTAGTCGGCCCCGATCTGCTTCAGAACCTTTTATTCGTTTTAATGCGCTTCCGAGAGCACAAATACGCAATTTCCGCAGATATCGAAGGCATGTTTATGCAGGTCGGCTTACTAGAAAGCGATCAACGTTCCTTGCGTTTTTTGTGGCGGGAGGACCCCACATCAGATGTGAGTGTATTTCAATATACAAGGCATATATTTAGAGCGAAAGATTCTCCGACATGTGCTAACTATGCTCTTCGCCGAACAGCCGTCGATAACCAAGAACGTTAACCCGATGCCGCTTGCGCCGTGCTTAACAACTTTTACATGGATGACTACCTTGGGTCTGTGAAAAACGCAGAAACTGCTTTAAGGTTAAATCGCAGTTTAGTTGAACTGCTTAAGTTGGGTGGGTTTAATCTTACAAAATTTATTAGCAACGTTCCCAGTTTGTCTTCGAAACTAAATCCCCCTAAGACCAGCGCTAACAACAGTAAGGAAATTATTACCGCTGCGATTAATCCGGAAACCGCATCGCATGTTCTCGGTCTCAAATGGGACCACGTCACCGATACGTTGGTTGTGAGCAGAGGAGTCAACCGCGAACTCAAAGACTCTGTTACGCAGCGATCGGTCCTTAGTTTTGTGTCCTCCGTGTTCGACCCCATAGGTCTTGTCGCCCCATATACCGTACGCGCACGTTTGTTACTGAAAGATATCTGGAGATTGAGTGGCCAACAGTGGGACGACCCACTGCCAATTGAGTTGTGCCGCAGATTCACTGAATGGCACTCTGGCTTGCCAGTTTTAGGGCAACTCAAAATACCTCGTTGCTATTTTGACTTCTCAGTAGATGAGGTTGAGCTGCACATGTTCGGTGATAGCTCATGGGACGTTTTCTGTTCTGTAGCATTCCTTCGAGCTCAGAAAAACGCCTGTTCCAAATGTCAACTAGCGTTTGTTTTCGGTAAAGCAAGAGTAGCCCCGATGAAGATGCTTTCAATTCCGAAGTTGGAACTTCAGGCTGCGCTTCTTGCCAGTCGCCTGAAGGATGATATCGAGAAAGCTCTGACACTGAGTATTTCTAAAGTGTTCATGCGGACTGACAGCACAACAGTCCTTCAATGGTTGAACTCGACAAGCAAACAGCCCGTGTTTGTAGCCAATCGAGTAGCCGAGATTCCGGAGTCAACATCAATTGACCAATGGTTCCATGTTTTGAGTGGAGACAACCCCGCTGACACCGGAACTAGAGGTATTACTGCTGACTCCCTCAAGCAAAGCAGTTGGGTAAACGGCCCTTCCTTTTTGAAAACTTCTGATTGGCCTTTCAATCCAAATAGGGAAGTTACTGACAAAATTCGCCTGGATGGTCCGGTCTACGAACTAAACGAGGGTTTAGAGGTCTCTTCCAATTTTCTGTGCACTGCAGTTTCGACTGACTTTTCCTTCCCTTGGGAAGAGTATAGCTCCTTCTCCAAGATAAAGCGACTGGTCGCATATATGTTGAGACTCTCACCTAAGCATAGACATTTCAGATCACCAGATAAGGCCGTAATTGATCCAGCAGAACTTGTTATTTCAGAGGAAAAACTTTTGCAACTTTCGCAGTTAGAGTCATTCCCAGCTGAAAGTAAACAATTAGCAGCTGGAAAAATTGTGAAAACGTCGAGCCGTATATCATCGTATTCGCCTTTTATCGGGCCGAACGGTTCAATTAGATCTACCGGCCGTATCCAACGTCTCTCTGCAACCGCATTCAAAACTCGCCATCCAATAATTTTGGATAGCCGCCATCGCCTAATCCGATTGTTTCTACGTTTTTATCACATTAAGCATGAACATCAGTCAGTCGACTACCTTCGTTCCGTCATTCATCAGCAATTTGTTGTACTACGCTTAAGATCTGCACTAAGAGCTATTGAAACACATTGCGTGTGCTGTAGAAAGCGAAAAGCGAAAACCGTTACTCCAATGATGTCTGACCTTCCCGCGGAGCGTCTAGGTTACCGCCAGCCACCGTTCTCGAACTGCGGCGTCGATTATTTTGGACCATTTCATGTAACCATTCGTCGATCTTCCGAGAAACGCTGGGGTTTTCTATTTACTTGCTTAACGACTCGCGCAATTCACATTGAGTTGGTTCCATCCATGGACACAAGTTCATGTGTGATGGCTATCGAGCGCTTTATTTCTAGGCGAGGAACACCCTCAATAATTTGGTCGGACAACGGAACAAACTTTGTAGGAGCCGAAAAAGAGCTTCTTCTGTGCATCAAAAATTGGAACGCAGAAGCTCCACTGTCGCTCGTACACAAAGGCATTAAGTGGAAGTATAATCCGTCAAGTGCACCACATCAAGGTGGAGCATGGGAGCGAATGGTGCGCAGTTGTAAGCGTTTGTTTTATGCAATCTTAGGGTCAAGAAAGTTGACTGACGAGATTTTGAACACAACCATGTGCCTAGTTGAAGGTTCACTAAACGCCCGTCCACTCACTCCCGTTTCTGACGACCCCGATAGTCTTGAAGCTTTGACGCCGAATCATTTCCTCTTAAGTCAGCACAGTCTAACGTTTCCGTCTCTAAGGTCGAGTGAAAACTATTCTCACTCTAAGCGCTATGCCCGTGCGCATTCGTACGCAAACGCAATTTGGCAGCGATGATCAAGTGAGTACGTCCCTACACTCAAAAAAAGAGTTAAGTGGCATGCTCCTCCCGAATACTCTTTGAAAACGGGAGATATGGTGTGGTTAGTTGAATCCACTAGCCCTAGGGGCCACTACCCACTAGCATGCATAACGTCGCTAAACTGCGGCAAAGACAACACCGCCCGTTCCGCAAACCTAAGGACCGTTTCCGGAAACTACACTCGGCCGCTCGTTAAGCTCGTTCCGTTTCTCGCTCCTTCGGGCGTGGAGGATGTTAATGCTACATAGCATTAAAGTATGAAAGTATAGTATAAAGCCAGTATAGTTTGCTTATCAAAATCAGCTATATAGCTCAGCGTATACATAGTGCGTTCCGGGGAGTTCGGCGTGGGTTCGATTCTCACCTAAGTCGTTTCATTTGAGAATCCTATTTGAGCCGAACCTGACAGAACATAAAATGCTAATATTTTAATCGGTTCAAAATTTGTTTGCAATTGAGTTTCTGTTAATTAAACTGCGTGAACTAAGTATGAACTCATTGTGAAAAAACACATAAATCACACAAATCAGGGCATGAACAAGCCCACTTTTTAACTTGATACGTGTAATGTTGTTGCTAATTCCATGCAATAAAAAATTATTAAATTATTATAAAATTATTAAAAAAAATTATTAATAAATGCAATGCCGTTTATTGATTCTCTTGAATTAAACCGATTCTGTTTCCTGTTTTTATAAGTTATAAAAAAGTTATAAAAAAGGCCAGAATAGGTATAATGGGAAAGACCCAAACTGTGAACCCTTTTAATGGTCTTTTTAGCAAAATTTTCCATTTTTTCTTCATATTGAAAATGGTTTAAGAAGAATTACTGGCTCTTTTCCACTTTCGCCCCACATTTGAAAATCTGTTTTAAAAAACCATTTTCACCTTGTCATAAAGCAATTTCAATTTCACTCGGTCATAATGTGAACTGAAATAACACGTGAAGCAACCTTAAAAAATGGAAAATATGCAATGTGAGTCGAAATGAGCCAAACTACAGAATATTTGCTTGATGCGATAAAATCAACGTTTCCGCACACTTTTCTTCTTCATACGTTATAACAAACAAGACTGCTCGTATATCAGCGCAAAGCCCTGAATGTCCGACTGTGCTTTAATTAATTTCGAATAGCTTTTGAGAAGAAAGTACTAAAAATCTATAAATTTTCGACGAAATCAAAGTGTAAAATTTTGAATCGTACAAAACTAATACGACCGATTAACTAGCCTCAATCAATTTGGAACGATTTTTTTGTGCGGGATAATTCGCCACGCAGAAACAATTCGCGTTACGCTCTCAGCATTATGAATAAACTCTTCAAAGCGCGTAAAATTTATTCTACAACAAGGCCAATTTGGCAATTTTCATTCCCCAGAGCTCTACAAAAAACATCGGAGGTAAATATCTTATTACACTTGAACTCAAGAAGTCGATATCTTCAATTGGGTTTTAAAAAAATTTGTTGAAAACTATTACTTCGATCGGCGAAAATTAACTGAATAAATAAAAAACATTCCGTTTTTTTTGAAGTCGGAACAAAAACCAAGGGTTTAGTCTAAACACGGTTGTTCCAGTATCTTACGCACTGAAAATTATAAATCATTAAGGCGTGCTATTAAAAGTTTTGGCTCTTTCCTAGTAATCCCACCTGTCAAAATATCGAGTTCTATGTTTGTTTTACGTGTTATTGTGGCTAATGCGTGATTTTACGGAAAAAAACCATATAATTAGTTGGCTAACTATGCATACTGATGGGTTCACGTAAATATTAGTTGATGAAGACAATCGCCGAAAAGAGTGATAATACAAGTTCTGGAATGAAGACAAAAGATGAGCCCTTTTTCAACCCCTTTAATCAACACAACTTAAGAATTTCAATTTTATTTTCCACTTTTTTCATAATCAATACTTATAAATACTTATAAAAAAAAATTTACTTTTTTAATTAGACACAATCTCCTTCCCCCTATGGTACCTACTTGAGAATCTTCACCCTATAAATAAATACAGTAAAATAGCACTGAGCTTTCTAATGAGAAATCTAATATTGCTGTATTCTGATTGGTTCAAAAAATTGACCATTTTGATCTACTTAACAATCTCAACCCTTTCTTAAAAGGGGGGTTGTAGAGTAGATCCCAAAAAACTACTAGTAAGAAATCGCAGGTGGGCCGAAAAAAAAACGAAAAAGCATAACGTTTTAATGTGAATATGATTGTTGTTGCCGGAGCCTTAAATTGAAAAATCAACAGTGTAGAAGAATACTATTCGAAAAAATGACTTCATAAATGAGGTCCAGTTTTTTTTGTGTTTTGGGCAAATTTCGACTTTCAACAAGTTTTGACGGAATTTATCAAAAACTTGATGCCTCAAAATTCAAAAAAGTATTGAATTGTAGTTGGGGTTTATAAAAATCCAATTTGGCCAAAAAACGATAATTAATGCGCGCAAAATTTTCAACAGTCTTTTAACGAGTAAGCGGCCAATGAAGAAGAACTGATGGGCGCAAATTTTTTTAGTTTTCTGTTAACGTGTAAGTTTGCCGTTAATGTGTAAGCGGCGTAGTAATCTGACTATGACTCAAATGAAAAAAAGTTTCAGGCAAACTGTTTGCTCTCATTAAAATGTTGCTGGACGCAAAACCCGGCACTCTGTATTTTACATGAGCAATGATACGGATAATTTTTTTAAACTTGAGCTTTATTTTTTTCTAAGTATGCTTTCTAATCTCGTAAATGAATAGTGGTTTGGCTTTTCGTAGCTATATTTTGTGTTATTGTTCCGACTTTCAATTAAAGGAAAATAAATATCTCGCCATTAGAAAGATTTTTTTTCGCCAAAATAAGCTTGTTTTTTGGTCGGTTGATTGGTTTAACAAGTTGTTTTGTTTGAAATGAGACAATTTGAACTCTGTGATTGAAGAAAAATTGAAAAAGTGTGTTTGGTGCGAAAAACGTTTTCTTCAAATATGTTGCAATTTCTTTGCTTGCAAAATGGAGGGTTTTATAAAACTGCCTGCGAATTATTTATCCATGGCTACAAAATGGGAATATTTTTCACCTGTGAAATTTTTGTTTTTCACCTGTTAATTTCATTGTGAATTTGATTGTTGTTTCCGGAGCCTTAAAGTAAAAATTCTACTGTGTAGAAAAAAAAGTATTCGAAAAAATGACATAATAATTGAGGTCAAGAGTTGTGTTTTTTTAGGCAGGTTTCGTCTTCTTGCAATGAATTTTGATGGAATTTATTTGGGTGGTCGAAAATAAAATGAGAAAAACTTTTGTTTCTTTTTTTCATCAAACCTTGTCCCAAACCTTGTCCCAAAGGAGGGAAAGTCAAACCTTGTCCCAGAGGTCAAGGTAGCCTCGAAAAAGAATTCTTTGTTGTTTGAGGTTTGAACACTGTCATCTAGTGTTGCTCACAGTTTTGATCAAATTATCCAATAGCGCAGACTTTGCACACTAACATACGAGCTGTATGAGCTCATCGCTTTACGCATTTGCACTAATTTACTTGATCTCTAGCAATAACCAAAATCAAAACATGTCCAATATATTTTGGTCCAGAAAAACGAAATATATCTAAACAGGGTCGAACCAAGTCGAGCATGTTTTTTTTTGCGTCGAAAAATTTGAATAATAACAAAATTTATTCGAGAAAGTCGAAATAAACCTTTTTTGTGGTCCAGACAGTCGAAACATACAATTTTTGCCGAATTAAACTTCAATCTACTTGTTTAGACGAACGAGATCCAACAGTACAAGGCATGCCCAGCACGGCGGATACAAATTGGGGAGCTAGATCGGGCTCTGAGTATGGCAATAGACAAAACCACCCTCTTCTGTTAACGGATCAGCAAGCCATAAATCAACAGGACGAGCCGATGGCAAGGACTATGGGCGAAACAGCGGGGCCATCGGTGTCAGTGTATCAGCGAACCGGCGATAAAAACACTAAAAGGTATAGATTGCTAAAAAATAGCATAATCGGGGAAAGCAAACATACGTTAACGATGAGTAATGGGCATCTGCTTAAGAAATCTAGGGTTGCAGTTAAGAAATCGCCGGCAAAAGCCTCCAAGTAGCCGAGGAAAAATGTTCCGAAACCACCGACGCCACGAGACTTGCGGAAAAAATTGGCCGCCAAGGGCCCGAAGTACCCAGCCGTGCAGGGGATAAGTTTCGAGCAGACGAACGACACGGATTTGGATGACGAGAACTATCAACCGCTCATAACGTGGAGAACGGCAATGGGGAAGATACCAGCATCTCGAACAAAAGTGGATGAAAATCCGGAGGCTGAACAACAACCGGAGCGATTGAACGAAACGCAAGAAAAATCTAACGAGGCGAGCGGGCAGATTGAAGAAGTGGAAACGTTCATGGCGGAGCGATCAAACAGCGGAGCGACGGAGCGAGCGAATGGCAGAAAAATAGCGAACGACGAAAGAATCGGAAATGAAACGGCACCAATGGTGCAATCTACGAGCGGTGGTAGAAAATCCGAAGGAAAAAAAATCCGGAGGAACGGCGGCATAACGAGAGAAAAAGAAGCGCTTGGTTTCCTCTTCAAGCCAGGACTCGAATAGTGGTATCGAATCAGCAACGTCACGCAGGAGTGGAAGGAAGCATACCGCAGTGACTAAAATGGGGGCGTTATGATTGACCACATTTCGAAGAAAGGAGAGAAAACGTAGAGGACGGAAAATGAGATTAAACTAAAAGCAAAGAGCGGAGAAGTTGAGGGAGAGGGCTGACTGGATCAGTCAAAAGTTTAAACTTAGTATTCAAATAACCCTAAAACATTCTGAGTACCTTAACTTCATACTGAGTCATTTACGTTAGTTATTTCATCTCATTATTCTTTAACATGCTGAATCTTTAAATTTTCATTACAAACCTGCTGATTACTTAACTATCAGTCCTTGTACCTATACAAGTTCATTTTCAAAAGAGCGGCAATGTCATAGTGATTAAACTAGTTCACTTCTTGTTTAGTTTATGTTCTTTATTCTATCTGTCAATCAACTACTCTCTTACACCGGTGCTAGACTTAGTTGACAGGCATTTACCTTCAGAGCGTTTGCCACCTTCGGTAATCTCGTATTTCAGTTGTCGCTTATGATCTTTTTAGAAACGGTTGTTAATTAAGATTGGAATTTAACCTCACTCCATCATCGTTTTCAACAGATACTAAAAAAAACTCCAGTGACCAAAATGGGTGGCGTTATGATTGAACACATTTCGAAGAAAGGAGAGAAAAAGTAGAGGACGAAAAATGAGATTAAACTAAAAGCAAAGAGCGGAGAAGTTGAGTGAGAGGGCTGACTGGAGTCAAAAATGGCTATTCAAAAAGTCAGAATTTGTCTGTAGAAAAAACCAACCCGAATAAAAATTTCGTTATTTTCGTTACGAAAGTAGGAACAAGATTGCTTGTATCAGGGCGAAGTCCTGAATGTTTCGACTACCCTTTAAGGTCTGTGGAGCAGTAATAGCATGAAAAAAAAAGTGTAAAAAAAGACAGAAACTTTTTCCAAATTTGAGAATTTTTGTGAGAATCCCTTTCCACATACCAAATAAAGTACAAGGTGATAAATTTCGCTCCTAGTAAAATTTCATTTATGGCAATAAAGCTTCCATCAACTAATTTGAAACGATTTCTAAGACGGATTAAAACTCCGCTTACGCGTTATTATAGCGAAATATATCGAGCGTTCATTGTCAAAGAATCAAAGTTTCGCTTCCAATGATTTCGCTAATGAAAACCCTCTGCCCGGATACCGCGATGGTAAACTAGTTGGTTTTAAAGCTAAGAAAAGTCAGCTCAACATTTTTCCGTGTTTGTCACATGCAAAAAATTTTTTCCTGTTTTTGTCGCTTCAATAACTGTAGATGAAAGACGAAACCTGGTCGAGAGAGTCAAGTTAGACTCGCATTGGAATTTTTCGCTATTTGAGGTTTGAACGCTGGTGCTACTCCCAATTTGATCAAAAGCTAGTGTTTCTGACATTTTAAATCTAGTTTTCCATTGGTGCAGACTTTGCTCACTAAAATTCGAGCAATCTACTTTTCGTCTATAAACCCATTGGTCTACACATTTGTACTGCTTTCCCTTGAGCTCTGACGAAATCTTTAAACCCCCAAAATTTTACGAATATTGATCACGGGTGAACGAGCGTTTCAATTTTAAGCTTAAAACAACAATAACTTTTGAATGATATAAAAAAAATTCCGTCAAAAATAACTATTTTTAAACTCGAAATTGATCTGAAGAAAAAAAAACGACCCCGAGCACAAACATAAGTAATAGAAAATATACAAAAACATTTTTTCGTATGAAGTTTTATGAGAAAATCATCCCTCTCCATATCATAAAAGTACAAAGTGATCGATTTCGGTCCAATTAACAAATCAAAAATGGCAAATAAGCTTCCTTCCACAAATTTGGAACGACTTCTAAGACGAATTAAATCTCCGCTTACGCGTTAATAGCGCAAAATATATAGCGCGTTATTTGTCCCGAAATGGCCGAAATTGCTATCTTTAGACCCCCATAACTGTACTAATTGACCACAGGTGAAATAACTTTCCAAATTTAAGCTTAAGACAACAATACTTTTTGAATGGTATAAAAAAATCCGGCAAAAACGACTAGTTAAAAAATTGAAATGTGTCTGAAGAAAAAAAGCATTCCGAGCAAAAATATTCCGTTACTTTTGTTACGAAAATCGAAACAACAATAAACGAACGACGGAAAAAGTATGTGATTCGAGAGCAGTAAACATATGAAACGTTGCATCGTGGAAAAATCTTATTTATAACGTCTACATGCGTTGTCAATTGAGCGTAATAAGATCACAAGCGAACTTTTTTTTATAAAATGTGAGCTCAGGACAACAAGTCTTTTCGAATGAAATAAAAAAAAACTATTCCGGCACTTGTTTCGAACAAAAATATATAATTTTCTTTTCCTTAGTTGGCAGCGCTCCTTATCATTGTATATTTAAGGTCGTAAACATCTAATAATCTTGCATTGTTATATAAGAAACGTTGAATTGAACAGGGAAGAGTTTTTATCTTGCTCTTTTTTGATGTTGTATGTAGCAGTTTCAAGCATTGAATTACCGCGAAGTTTGAGAGATATCATTAATTGCTACAGTTTCAAAATCAATACACGGCCAAAACATGCACTGGATAGGCGCATAATTTGGTGTATGTAAGTCACAGGTGTCCACAGAGAAGTCTTTGAACAAGTTTAAGTTTTGTCAGCACAATGGAAAGAAACAAAACAATAGGGGAAAAAAGAGCTGTCTTTTTACGGAATCCGCTTGTAATTTACAAAATACATAGTTTGGCCTGGTAAGGATAGAAAAAAAAACAAATAATAATTTTTTATGATTTTTAGAATGTGAAAACATCAAAATAAATGAAGCCAAACAAGCTGAAACCATACTATCTTGAATTATCTGGTGCTTTCTTGCTCAATGTAAGAACAATGTTGACAATTGTCGCAACTTGGAGTACGCCATGTACACTTTCGAACACAGTGATGGAGGCTTCCTATTTTGATCAAAGTAAAAAATAACAAACGTTTTTCATCAAATATGCAAGTCGAATTGGCACCTTTTTATCTTTAAAGACAACTGCTTTACCATCGTTCTATCAAGGATCAGAGTTTTCATCGGCGAAATCATTTGAAAGCGAAATATGAATCCATGTGTGATCTTTATTCGTAATCCTGAAAACATACTTGATCAAATCATCTTGCCAATTGAGCTTGCCTTAAATGTTGTTACTTTTTAAAAATGAACTTTTTGAACGTTATTCTGCGAAATTCAATAAAAAAAGAAAAAATATCAAATCTGGTGTTAACCGAGTCTCGCACGGGCTCTTATGGAGTTATGCTCATATTTTTCATGTTTGCCGTGTTCTCTTTACTTCGTTGAATTCCTTCGGTCCATGAATGGTTCACTGAGAGAAACCGAGAAAAAGGTAATCGTTTCAGTTACAGGTATTGAAGCGTCGATGAGGAGCACACATGAAAGAAAAACGTTTCTGATTTTATTTTTGACCATACTATTTTTTTAAAAAAAAATCCATCTAACTTGTCAAATTAGAGATATCATTGAAGAATGCATTGCATTTTGTTCCGAGGTGCCAATTTTTATTTCAACTTTTTCAGCAAAAATTTGTTTGTTTCGACTGTCTGGACCACAAAAAGGTTTGTTTCGACTTTCTCGATTAAATTTTGTTATTATTCATATTTTTCGACGCAAAAAAAAACATGCTCGACTTGGTTCGACCATTTTTAGATATGTTTCGTTTTTCTCGACCAAAATATTTGGACATGTTTTGACTTTGCTTATTAATGGAGATCAAGTAAATTGGTGCAAATGCGTAGATCGATGAGCTCATACAGCTCGAATGTTAGTGTGCAAAGTCTGCGCCAATGGAAATTTTGGCTCTTTTTCCTTCCCACCAACCTCACTCAAACATGAAACTGTTGCTCTAACGAGTGGTTTTAAAAGGTTAATTATGAAGACCAAATATGTTATTCAAGACAACCGGACAAAGTGAACAATAACTTCAAATATACAAACTTTCAGGTGGGGGGGGGGAGGAAAAAGAGCCGACATTTTGATCAAAACTGTGAGCAGCACTAGCTGGCAGTGTTTAAACCTCAAACAACAAAGCATTCTTTATCGAGGCTACCTTGACCCTTGGGACAAGGTTTGACTTTTTTAGTTTTTGAAGCTTCGATGCTGAAAAAAAACGGAACAAAATTTTTTCTCATTTTATTTTCGACCACCCAGATGATTTCCGTCAAAAATCGTTCGAAGTCAAAACTTTCATAAAAACAAACACAACTCTCGATCTCGTTTAATATGTCTTTTTTTGAAATAGTATTTTTCTACACAGTAGATTTTTCACTTTAAGGCTCCGGAAACAACAATCATATTCACATTGAAGTTCACAGATGAAAAAAAAAATTGACAGGTGAAAAATATTCCCATTTCGTAGCCCTGGGTCAATAGTTTGGAGGCAGTATTATAACATCCTTCCGTTTTGCAAGCAAAGAAATCGC